ACCCACAACAGTCCCACAGTGACGGCGACCACACACACAACAGCCTCTCAGTGACAGCACAGCACACACACAACAGCCTCAGTGACAGTGACCATACCCACAACAGCCTCACAGTGACAGCTCAGCACACACTCAACAGCCTCACAGTGACAGCACACATCAGGTAACACTAGATTTTGCTCTTTCAGGATATTGCCAAATCCTAGGGTTGGAGATGTGGTTCAGTTTGGAGGGCCTGCCAACATGTCCAAGACCCTGGTTAAATGGCATGTACTACACCTACACACACCTACACACCCACCCACCCACCCATCCACACACAAATGCAATCTCCATCGGAAAGCCTGCCTTGACACAGTCTTCTAACCACCAGGAATCCTAAAGATTCCTAGCACTAGCCAGCAGCCCCAGAAGCCCCACCTTCATGCTCTCACTGGCCAGCAGCCCCAGAAGCCCCGCCTCTGTGCTCTCACTAAGAACCACTCTCCTTTAAAGGTATAGCCATGGTAGACCTGAAAATCTTAACAGGATTATTCCCTTTTGTTTACAGGGCTTCAGAATGTCCTATAAGCTGGCCTTGAACCCATGATGCCCGTCTCTGCCTCCCCAGTGCTGGGATGATCTGCAAGAGCCACCGTGACCAGCTCGGGACTCACACCCCAGCAAAGCAGCTGGCCGCTGCGGGGCGGCACTCCTTACAAGTGGTTCTGTACTCACCTGTTTTTTTCATTTTTACTACTTAAGAATTCGGAGTGAACAGACAGCACTGTATGTCCAGTGAAGACTGGAAGTGGACTAGACTCTTTCTCTTCATCAGTAAACTCCAAATTGTCTCCAAATTCTGGAATTTCAAAACCTCGGTATCTTCTGACCTTGCTTTTTGTATACAGGCCATCTGTGAGCTCTACGAACTCGGAGGTGAGAACCGGCATTAACTTATCCCGATCAGAAGACAGCTGAACAACGTAGTTGGGAGACAGCACTCGGATCAGGTCAACAAGCAGCAGCAGCCCGTCATCTGTGAGGGAAGAGATCCCATGGGCACAGGTAAAGCAATACAGAGAAGCCGGGGCCAGGCAGCAAGTGCACATCTGTCACGGTCTCCTGCCCCCTTCTGGCTTCCACAGGCACTGCATGCAGTGTTTGACAGACTAGAAAAATCAATTAAAAAACAACCAAGAGCCAAGCAGTGGCAGTGCATGCCAGAGACCGGGTGGATCTGAGCTGGAGGCCAGCCTGGTCTACAGAGCAAGTTCCAGGATATCCAGAGCTACACAGAGAAAGCCTGCTTCGAAAAACCAAAAATAAATAAATAAATAAATAAATAAAGTGAAACGTAAAAATATCAATTGGTTTTCCCTTCTAGTCCCTGCTCCTGGAATGATGGACTGAGACTATTTATTAACAAGTGCCTTGGCCACAGCTTTGGCTCGTTCAATGACTAGCTCATAACTTATTTAACCCAGTCACACTAGTTTTCACTTCTCCTCAGTCCCAGCCTGTTTCTTCCTCAGCATCTCCCTGAATCTCTTGCATTTTTCACTACTTCCCAGAATCTCCTCTCTTCCTGCCAGTGTCCCACCTCCTAATTCCTGCCTCAGCTCATTGGCCATTGGCTTTTTTATTGTCAGGTACCATTTATAAGAGATCCTCTCTACAGAATAGGCAACAGTCCACAAGCCCCACAGTTGGAGCTGTGGCTCTGAATGCCAGGAGGTCCTGGGTTTGGTCCTCAGCACCACATAAGATGGACAGCCATGACAAACGCCTACATCCTTGGCCCTGGGGCTCGCGCGCAGTAGGATCAGACACTCAGGGCTATTCCCAGCTACAAGGTGCCCATGCTCGCCCTCACCTAACACTACGGTCCACATGTGCGGAAATCCATCCACAGCACACACCGTCATCGCGCCCATCTGTGCAGTGCTCATGGCTGCTGCCTGCATGACCGACCACACACGTACACGGCTTACCTGACACCCAACCCATCGTGTTGATGACAAGTGGAAATTCTCTCTTGTAATCTCTGAACACGTACTTTACTGTCTCAATGTAATTCTCATAGTCATTGTGACAGTTCATCTTCCCCAAATACACCATCTTCTGTGGCTTCCTCTGGTGGGTGTAAGGTGGTCCTAGGAAATGAGAGCAGGAGCAGTTAGTAACCAAGCACTTGCCTGAGACACAGCAGCACCCTAGGGCAGTGTTCTCCATGTTCTTAGTGCTGCAACCCTTTAATGCAGTTCCTCACCTTGGAGGTGACCCGCCACCATAAACCTATTTTTGTTGCTATTAGTCGTCATGTGAGTATCTACTGCGCAACACTGTGGAGGTCATGGCCCACGGGTTGAGCACCACTGCCCTTGGGGTTCCATTTCCAGCACAGCCAAGCCAGAGTAACCATGCCATGGCCAAAAAGCAGTGACCAGGATTCTGTGTCCCTGCCAAACCTGACAAAGATATTATGAATTCTCCAACCACCAAGAATATCCCCAATTTAATCTATTGTAAGTGGATTCCAACCATGTTCTGACATGGCTATATTTGTTCCAGGTTCTTGGGATACAACAATGAACCTTTTAGGGCACCTTTTTCTTTTTTTTTTTTTTTGGTTTTTTTTTTTTTTTTTTGGTTTTTTTTTTCGAGACAGGGTTTCTCTGTGTAGCCCTGGCTGTCCTGGAACTCACTCTGTAGACCAGGCTGGCCTCGAACTCTCGAACTCAGAGATCCACCTGCCTCTGCCTCCCAAGTGCTGGGATTAAAGGCGTGCGCCACCACCGCCCGGCTTTAGGGCACCTTTTAATGGCTTACAGACTGTTGATAATTTTAAAAATGACCTTTAATAACCTCTTGCTAAGTGGTGGTACAGACTTTTATTTTTAAAGATTTATTTATTTACGTGAGTACACTGTAGCTGTCTTCAGACACACCAGAAGAGAGCACTGGATCCTATTACAGATGGTTGTGAGCCACCACATGTGTGTTGGGAATTGAACTCAGGACCCCTGGAAGAACAGTCAGCACTCTTACTGGCTGAGCCATCTCTCCAGCCCCTGATACATACTGTTAATCCCAGCATTTGGGAGGCAAGGCAGCTGCAACTCTGTGACTTGCAAGACAGCAAGTTCCAGGCATGCCAGAGGTATACAGTGAGGACTCCAAGCCCCAAAAAGGAAAGACCAAAAGAAAAAGCCAGAGCTCGGCCTTGGTGGAAGGAACATCACCACTCTCATAGAGGAGCTGAGTTTGTTTCCAATATCCAGGACCAAGAGGTTGGTAATCAACTCTCTTCCAGCTTCAGGGGACTACGAGATCCTCTTCTGCCTACAAGGAAGGGCACCTGCACGCATGTGCTCACAACTCCCTCCCTACAGATACATAAATCTGACAGACAGTACAGACCACTGAACAAAGCTAACGGCCAGTGTTCAGTTCCCAGAACCTACATGGTGGGAAGATCTAACTCCAACAATCTGTCATTAGATTTACACATGTATATGTGCCCAGACACTTGCACATTCAAAATAACTCCCATTCAAAATAAGCAAATAGAGCTGGAGAGATGGCTCAGAGGTTAAGAGCTCTGACTGCTCTTCCAGAGGTCCTGAATTCAATTCCCAGCAATCACGTGGTGGCTCATGACCATCTGTAATGGGATTCGATGCCCTCTTCTGGTGTGTCTGAAGAGAGCAACAGTGTACTCATACACATAGAATAAATTTTAAAAAGAAATAAGCAAGTATAAAATTTAAAAAGACAAAACAGTGTGCTGGACATGGTGGTGAACACTTTAATCCCAGCACTCAGGAGGCAGGTGAGTCTCTGTGAGGTCCAGGACCACCGGGAGGTAAACACATAGAGAAACCTTGCCTCAAAAACAGTTAAAACATAAAAGAATAAAAAAATTCAGGGACTTAGCCAGGCTGTGTTGGCACAGGCCTTTAATCCCAACACTCGGGAGGCACTCAGGCAGATCTCTAAGTTCAAGGCCAGCCTAGTCAACAGAGTGAGTTCCAGTACACCCAAGGCCACGCAAGTGGCCAATAGGCACTGTCACTATGAATACTCAAGAGGAAGGCACTCAGGGTTATTAGTCACGGGAACACAAAGCAAAACCCCTAACCCTGCTTCATACCTGCCTGGGGGTCTGTAATCAAAATACCCACCACTGGCAAGAACCAAGAGTTAGTTACTTTCATGTTATCTAGCAACTGCACCTCTAGGCCATGAAAGCTGGGTCTCCACTGTGTGCCTGTCCACTGTGCTTAAGGCAGGTACAGCCAAAAGAAAGCCCTCCCATGGTGGCTTCAGAGTCAGTGGGAAAGGTGCTGCCCATGCATCTGTACCCCAGCACTGTAGGAGAAGTGGGTGGGGAGCTGACCACCGCCTAAAAGCTTGCAGCCCAGCTAGTCCAGGATAGCGGTCCAGTAGCAGAAAACCAGGAGGCCCTGCCACCACAGCTGGAAGTAAAAACTCTTCAAAGACTACACACACACACACACACACACACACACACACACACACACACACACGCGCGCGCGCGCACACACCACGGAGCATATACACACCACACGTGCACCACTTACACCAAATGCATGCTCCACAGAGCGCGCACACACCACACACCCCAAATCAACACACCACAGAGCATGTACACACCACACGCACACCATGGAACACGTACATCCAAAAGCTGGATGGGCAAAAACACGTGCTGCACACACGTGACAGAAGGACACGCAGCCACGCAGAGGAATCTAGGGTTGTTTTTACCCACCAAGCTGTCCCCGGGGATGGAGTCTGACATGTTCTCTAACCTAGATCCGAGTAAACAGTCAGACTGAAGGATTCACTTACTGACTAAACAGGTACAGTCCCGGGGACAGAACCAGACTGAAGAGCAACTAAGAGAGTAGGGGAGATGGGGAGATGGCTCAGCAGCTGAGAGCACTGGCTGCTCTTCCAGAGGCTCTGGGCTCAATTCCCACATGACAGCTCACAACTATCTCTAACTCCTGTTACAGGGGATCCAACACTCTCCTAAAGACATACATGCAGGCAAAACACCAATCAATGTACAGAAGATTTCAAAAAATAATAAATTAGAGAGACAGATACACAAGACAAACAGACAGACATAATAAAAAATATCTAGGGGTCAGGCAGTACAGGCCTTCACCTGGGAGGCAGAGGCAGAAGGATCTCTGTGAGTTCAAGGCCAGCTTGGTTGGTCTACATAGTGAAATCCAGGACAGCCAGGGGTACACGGAGAAACCCTGTCTCAGCCACCCAGAGCCAGCTAGCTAGCCAGCCAGCCATATGGATATCTGGAGATTTAACAGCCCTGAACTATACACTCAGGAGAGGCTAAAGCTATTACATTCATTCTGCATATTTTAACACTCTAAAAAAGACATAGGAATTCTACTTGCATTCTGAAACAGGAAAGGACATTATAGGATAACTGGTGAATCCAGAAGAAAGCATCTGTAGACTGGTACTGGGTCAGGGCTTGTTTCTTACTGCAGACACACAGGTCACCTCGGATGCTATTAGGGTGACATGTGTTTGTAATTTGTATGTCGGCTCACAGAAGAGCACAAGCAGCTCTTTGTCTCAGTTTCATCTGTGTGCAACTCCAGTTCCAAGGGAGCCAATACCCCCAGACTTCCATGCAGGTGAACCAGCATGCACACCAAAGTTACTGTTACATACAATGCTTCCATCTCTTCAAGCACACGCGCTCAGGCTATGGAGGCCAGAGGCAGAGTGAGTCACTCTGCACACTTTTCATTTTATACAGAATTTTGCGAGTAGCATGTTAATACATACCCAGAAGTGGTTCTGTGATGTTAAGTAAAGAAATACAGCCAGGAGGCGTGAACTCTGTCTGCCCCAGGTCACATTCCAGATAGTCAACCGCGGGAATGCTGAAAATTGTGAGAGAGAAAGAGAGAGATCTGAGGCAGCCTTCCTCTGGGAGGATGTGTGACACCCAAGCATCATCATCCCCTGTGCCTTGTAGCTGCCCTACTCAACACGGCGAGGGCTGCAGTGTAGGCAAGGCCCTGTGCCATTCACAACACGCAAAGGATTCTATAAACTAACACAGGCTCAGTCCTGAGCTCAGGGGAACACCTAGACCAGTACAGAAGGAGACCAAGCATCCGTCTGCTGCAGATCAGAGTCAAGAGGGAGGGAGGAAGGCTACTGCACTGCAGAGCGCCATGGCCCAGCCGACAGCACAGAGAGCTAAACACATCCCCAACTCAAGTCTGTCCATCAAGCTGGGCATGGTGGCTTGCGGCTGTAATCATAGCCCTAGGGAGGCTGAGGCAGGAGAATCGCCAAGGCCAGATTGGTCTAGAGAGTGAGACCACACCTTAGAAGATCAAACAAAACCAAGCTTCTCCATCTGAATCTCACTTCATGCCCAGATGACCAATGAAAACACAAGCAAGCTTACCTATTTAATAACTGGTTAATCAGTATTCTATTGAACGTTGATTTTCCAATGTCACAAGCGCCACACAACAGGATGACAGGGCAGCCATCTACTTTTGCAGGTAAAACAAACAGTGAGCCCTGGTGTGAGCCAGTCCTCAGGACTCTAGTTCTGAGCAGTGACTGAGGCTGCGGGGACACAGGCATTTACAAGAGGCAGCACTCACCACAGGACACGCTGACCAACTCCTCCAGGGCACAGAGTCCGCTCTCACTCAAGCAGATGCCTTGCTTCCTCCTCTGCCTTCTGAGGCCAATTTTCCTCAAAGCTACAAACTCAGAATTAACCCGAGCAGGAATGTTCTGAAATATAACAACTGGAACTGTAAGGACAGTTTTTAACATACACTTGTTTGAACATACACTTGTTTGCTTCTAAGTTAATAAGCATCGTCTAGCTGTGAGTTACAAACAAGTAATACCCCAAATTCAACCCTCAGCACCCGTCCCACCAGCAGCGTCCTGCTCCTTCTCGAGGGCAAGTCTCTCCACAGCTCACACCCTGCTCAGGCTGCCCCCGCCTCTAGAGATAAGGAAGGCATGGAAACGTAGGAAAAGCTCCACAGAGAGAAAACAGAACCCAGGGCAGAAGCAAACTCATCTGAAAGTAAAGGCGTGTGTATTTCACTGATGCCTGCTGGGAGCAGACAGAAACTACAAAGGGCACATGCTTGCTGACAAGGAGGCATGGGTGAAAGCCGTCCACCATGCAGAGGAGAAGGGAAGAAGGAACCTCCCCCAAACACTTCTCCAGTAACCAGACTGCAGCGCAGTGGACTCAAAGAGGGCGTTCCTGTCCTGGGTGCCTCCTACTACTAGAGTTTCCTCTGAGAAGGATAAAAATGTAATCAAGAGTTGAAGACATGGCTTTGTGGCTAAGAGCGATTACTGATCTGCAGAAGACCACAGTTCGGTCCCCAGCACCCTTGTCAGACAGCTCCCAGTCAACTGTGCTCCACTCCAGGGAATCTGATGCCATCTGCTGGCCTCCTGGAATACGTGGCATTCACAGACATAGAAATGAAAACAAAAAACTCTCCAGAAAACAATCACACAAAGGGCTAGGGAGATGGCACAGTCATTAGGACCAGAGTTCAAATCCCCAGTGCCCATGAAGATCTAAGGAGATGTGGTCGGAAGCAGAGACGGGAACCCTGGGAAAAGCCTGTTAACTATCAGAACTGTAACTGGAGGGTCCCAGGTTCAGCAGCAGACCTTGTATACGAGTGGGGACAGCCTGAGGATAACACTCCACACTGAGTTCTGGCCTCCACACGCACACTCATGCACACCCTACACAAGCATCCAAACCCACACTCAAATAAAGTAAAAATTCAACCACACGAGCCACCGTAGAAGAATCTTATGTCTATAATCCCAGAACTCCAGGAGGCAAGAGGAATACAACTTGAGGCCTCTGGTACATAGTAACACTGTCTCCAAAACAACAATAAGTGTGTGTGTGTGTGTGTGTGTGTGTGTGTGTAGAGGTGGCCCAGAGGAGGACTTTTAGCTCTTCCAGAAGACTGAAGCTCTGTTCCCAGCATCCATGCTGAGTGGCCTGTAACTTTCTGTAACTTCAGTTCCAGAGGGATCCCACCCCTGTCCTCCACAGAAGATTTGCACACATCTGCACACACTCACGTAAACCACAATTCCAGAAGCCCATCCTCCGCTAACCACTTCACTTCACTCTCCTCTCACAGTAACTCTAGGCCTGGCGCTCTCGGCTCCACACCACCAACACTCCAGTGCTCAGGGACCATAAGAGGATTCTAGTGTGGGCCTGTCTCTCTCCTCCTTCGTCCTCTGCCTGAGGGGAAGGTTGTTGCATCGTTGTAATCTTTGCATGCACAGATCTATTAATTGATTGGTTTTTTGAGAAAAGGTCTCTGTAGTCTTGGCTGCCCCAAGTAGACTAAGCTGGCCTTGAATTCACAAGAGACCCTCCCACCTCTGCCTCCTGAGTACTGGGATTAAAGGTGTGCACCACCAGCCGGGCGGTGGTGGCACATGCCTGTAATCCCAGCGCTTGGGAGGCAGAGGCAGGCGGATTTCTGAGTTAGAGGCCAGCCTGGTCTACAGAGTGAGTTCCAGGACAGCCAGGGCTACACAGAGAAACCCTGTCTCAAAAAAAACTAAAAAAGAAAAAAAAAAAAAAAAAAGCATGCACTACCACACCAAGCTTAACATCAGCATTTAAAAGGTTGGGGACTACCAGAGTAGAAGAGCCTGTCTCAAAAAATAAACAAAAAAGCCGGGCAGTGGTGGCGCACGCCTTTAATCCCAGCACTTGGGAGGCAGAGGCAGGCGGATTTCTGAGTTCGAGGCCAGCCTGGTCTACAGAGTGAGTTCCAGGACAGCCAGGGCTAAACAGAGAAACCCTGTCTTGAAAAACCAAAAAAAAAAAAAAAAAAAAAAAAAAAATAAACAAAAAAAGGGAAGAGAAGCTTCCTACAAGGCTACCTTGAGAGGCATTTAATCCCAACACTCAGGTGGCAGAGACAGACCAGGCTAGCCTGGTCTACAGAGTGGAGTTCCAGGACAGTCAAAACTACACAGAGAAAATCCTGTCTCAAACAAAATAAATAAAAAAATTAATGAAAGAAAAGAGAAAATCAAAAAGAGAAAAAGAGAGCGCCTGCTGTTCTTGCAAGGACGGGGTGATCCTTAGCGCCACATGGAGGCACACACATGGTCCACATGCACATACACAGGCAAAATACTCATATACACACGGAACAATAAATCTAAAAAAATTATTTAAAGCCTGTTGGTGGTAGAGCACATCTTTAATTCCAGGACTTGGGAGGCAGAAGCAGGAGGGTCTCTGTGAGTTCAAGGCCAGCCAGGTCTACAGAGCTAGTTCTAGGATTGCCAGGGCTACACAGAGAAATCCTGTCTCAAAATAACTAACTAAATAGATAATGAAAGACAGACAGATAGATAAACAAAGTAAGAATAAAAACACCATTTAAATGAAAAAAATGCCTGGTAACCATGACCTGGGAGGCACAGACACAGACTGTGAATGTCACCCATCCAGCCTAGCACACTTGGCAAGCTTCAGGCCAGAGACTGTCTCAACAGACAGACAACTCCCGAGTAACAAAATGGCTACTACACACATGAACATACACACACACCCTGCACATACATTCACAACACACACACAAAGCTGTTTGTTCCTCCCAAGGCGTCAGGGTCTCAGGGGTGAGTCCAGGGGGGCTTCCTCCAAGCACTGTCACCTCTCCCTGTCTCCTCGCCTCTGTCATTCCACTGCTGTGTTCAGGAATTCGTTCACAACGGTGTTGCCGAGCTCTGCTCCATCACGCTCAGCCCCGAACCTTTTGCTTCATTTCAGACAATGTCTCATCCTTCTCAGCTCTTCAGTCTCTCTCTCTCTTCCTACCTCCCGACCTCATCATGAGGGCATCCCTCAGCAATCTACTGAAACCTTCATCTTTTCTCAGACTACCTTAGACTAGCAATGTCCCCAAAACTGGTCACTCCCCAGGCTCTTCTGTGACTTCTGTACCTTAACTTCCTCTGAAGTGACGCTGCCCGACCTCATATCCTCTTCTCTCAAGCTACACCAGCGTGCTTACGCGCGCGCTCTCTCTCTCCCCCTCACTCGTGTTCGATGCCCTCTGCTGCAGCTCCTGAATGCACAGCCCTACCCTCTTCTTCTAACAGCACACTCCCACACCTGCCTACCCGACACGTGCAACTGGACGTCTCTTTCCTTCTTCACAAAGAGGTGAGTTCTACTGGGCAATGAAACCCAGGAAGCAGAGGGAACACAACACGGTCAGGATAACCGTTCTGTAAGCGCCTACTGTAAGTGCATGCCATGCCGCATATGTGAGGTCAGAGGACGACACCCAGGAACGCTCCTCTCCTGCCATGGGTATCCAGGACGGAACCCACATCAGTCAGGCTGTTCAGCAAGTACCTTACCCATAATACATCTCTCACTCTAGACTGTCCCCTGCTAACACATGCGATTCTCCGGAACACGTACCCCACTCACAAGACAGAGGGGACGATCACTCCGAGAGAGGTCCCTACACAGCCATCCGGCTGACTGCTCTGATGCAAAAGATCAAGGAGCACTGGCTTTACCTCCTGCAGGAACACGTATGAGGAACACTTATAGGTCTTCAGGAAGTCCACGAAACGACTCTGCATCCGTTCCAGAATCAGAATAGAGCCCAGAGGAGGGAAATACCGTACTACCCAGTTTCTGTCATCTGCAAAGAAAGAGCAAGACACCTCAGCAGCAGCATCAATTCTGGATCCTGCAGGGTCTTGTCCCACCTGCTAAGTTCTAGGCTGTGTCGAGCATCACCGGTACAGCTGATGTTTCCACATCTGGGTAGGGACACATCATCAAGTGTGCCACCGACTAGCTTCAGCTTTAATACTTAAGACGGCCCCGTGAGGATCAAGAGCACAAAGTCCAGAACGTACTAAGCTCTTATAATCACTAGCCTTGATACAGGAAGATGAAGCCAATTACCGAGTTTCATGTAAGGCTTGAGCAGAGCCCGGATCTCCCTTCGGATCCCCCTTTCACTTTTCTCAGGTTCTGAGTATGGAACCACATTGATGGTCAGGTAGGAGTGGGTGTAGACAGAAAAGACATCTTGAGGAGGCTCGCCTTGTTTGATGATATGGCCGTATACTTCCAACTGGCCATAGATGCAAGTCACACGGCAGATCCCACTGAAAGTGAAACCCTAGCAGGAAAAGAAAAAAAAAAAAACATTACAGATACTGACACTAAAGGTAGAAGAAGTCTAACACCTTAACTTGCTACTTACCTATCAAAATCCTTTTTTTTCTTGAGTCAGGGCCTCAAGGCCCCGGCTGTCCTAGAACTGATCATGGAGAACAGGCTGTTCTTCAAATCATTAAAATCCAACCATCCCTGCATTCAGCGTGGTGTCACCACACCTGACAGGGGAACCCATTTCTAAGTATGGAACTACACAGCACTTGGGCCCACAAAGGCTGCTCACTGGATACAAGCAGTGGCTGCTCTACCAGAGAACCCGGGCTTGCTTCCGAACACCCATATGGTGACTCACAACCTTCTACAACTATGGTTTCAGAGGCTCCAATGCTCCGTAATAGCCTCTTCAAGCACTACATACGCATATGTGCTGAGTACAGAAATGGAGGCAGAGCACATTCAAAACAAAACAAAACGAACTACGCTGTACTAAGTAACAAACATCTGTCGGGCTTTTAACCTTACCCTAAACACAATACCTCCACTGCAGCTCCCAACACGCTCTCACACCCGATGCTCACAAAGGCTCACAGCATGCCCGAGTCTCCAATGCCAGAGTCCACGTCGGACTGCCTCCGTTTGACTGCTGGCTCTGCCTTGCTACTGTCTAACCTCTTGCAAGTTACTTACTTTGTCTTTCGGCCCATAAACACAAGAGAGAAATGGCAACTGTCACTCCCGTGAGAGATGGGGGTGTTAAATGGTTTCGAACGCTTGGAACGCTGGCGGCTTAAGTGCCAGTCAATCCGACTTTGCGAGTAGCTGGCAGACCTCCAGGCTCCGGAGCAGGAGGATGAGGATGGACCTGCATCCGACCTGCATCCCGAGGACAGGGGCGGGGACTGATCACCAACAGCGCCTCGCGGGCGACTCACCTCTCCGGGCGGCAGGATCAGCAGCACGCGGCCCGAGCCTAGGTCCCGTACGGGCTGGGAGATGTTCGCCGACACCCTTTCGACAGGGCGCTCGGACCAACTCTGGGACGTGGAGTGGTTCCGGGGATTGAGCAGGCTGCAGGGCCCGAGCTGGGTGCAGGGCGCGGGCGGGCCGCTCGGCGTGGGCTGGCTGCGGGGCGCCGGCCGGCTGCGGGCCCGGATTTTGCACTTTACCGCCACGTGCGCGCCGGCGGGGACACCCAGCTTCCATTCCCCGCCCAGCGCGTGTGCCCGCAGCAGCCGCCGTCGCAGGCGTCGCAGCTCGCCCCGGGTCAGGACCCCAAACCGGCGACGGCCCCGACGGCTGAGGAGGAGGTGGGGCCGGGCTTTGCGGACCCGCTGCCAGGACGAGCGGCTCGGAACCCGCCGGAGCATCACCTCCGACTCCGCCATACTTGGCCCGGAACCCCTCCGGCGGGACGATCTCGCGAGACCGCGTCGCCCCGCCCCCGGCGGAAGAGGTGCGGGACTGCTCGCGCCCCCTCCCGGCCGGCTTCTGCAGCACGTCGTCGGGGACTCCCGCCCTCAGCTGCCAGGGAGGCTTGGAGATGCCACCCAGGGCCACATTTACATTATGCAAAAACCCACCCTGGCCGGTTGGAGATCGGGAAGCCACCCCCGTGGATTTAACCACCAGGCCGCCTCTCAGGAAATCCACCTGGGATTTTTTTTTCTTCCTGCCGAAAAAAAAAAAAAACAACCCTCCAGGATTGGCATTTTAAACAAATTCGGTCCATTTGTCTATGGTGTGTTTGCATACATTTGTCTTCTGGCTGATGGGAACGATCCTGGGCAACAAGGTTAAACCACGATGATTAGCTCACACTTTGAATGTCTCAATACCGGGGTCAGCACCGCAAAGCTTGGTTTCAGGTTTACTGTGTTCCCTAACTCTTGCTGACATAAGTTCTCAGTACTATCAGTTATCCCTGTGAATGAGGTAGGAGGATCGCTTGAGCCCTGGAGTTCAAAGCCAGCCCGGGCAACAGAGCAAGAGAACACTTCAAAAACAAACAAAAACAGAACAAAACAGAACAAACCGTCAGCTCCCTGATAGTAACCACGACCTTCAATGCCCCAGCCCTCCCTCTCCTCCCTGAAAACCAGCAGGGCTCCCTTCCTGAGACAGGTGAGGCAGATCAAGGACAGAAACCACAACCGTCCAGAGGAGGGGGGTCTCAGGGATCCACCTGGTTTCCATCCATGTCCTGGCCCTGCCCAGTTCCTGAGAGAGACCACAGCCCGGAAGGCCAACAGCCTTTCTACAACTGGGCTCCAGTCCCCACCCCTTTCAGCGGCATGAAGTTATGAAGCGTCTGGGCAGCTGTCATGCCCTGTATTTAGGCAGCCCTTGTCAGGGGTGTGCTCAGCCATGCTGGGCAGAGGGACATCTGGCCAGCATGTTTTTCTGGGCAGCTCACCGGCTGCTCGGTCTCCAGCTTGCCGCTGCTTACTGCTGGGCTTTTAGCTGCCAAAGGACAGAGTTCTCTCCAGGCTTCAGCCTCCCTGGGGACTTCCTCCTTGCAGGCCTGTTCTCCCTCCATGCTGACTGTTGGCGGGTGACACACCGACCTGTGGTGACAAGTTGTGACAGGTAAGTAGGGACCAGGAGAGTTGTCACTTAGTGGGTTAGGGCTTGGTGCTTGTATGTGAGGCTCTGGGTTTAGGCTCCAGCATGGAATCAGCTGGATTTGGTGGCTAAGGCATGTAATACATATAATCTCTGTACAGGGAGATGGAGACAAGAGGGTCACAAGTTCAAGGTCATACTCTGCTACATACTGAGTTCAAAACCAGCTGAGGCTAGAAAGCCTGTCAGATAGACTCTCCCTTAAGGGAACACAAGGAAGGGCTCCTCTGCTTGCCTCTGTGCTAGTCACTCCCCAGCAATCTTTAATGACTGAAGTCACACAGAGAGCTGAATGAGTCCATCGGTTCTTATTTTGTGATGCTGTTTAGTTATTTATGAGTATACTGTCCATGACACCTCAGAAGAAGGCATCGGATCCCATGACAGATGGTTGTGAGCCACCATGTGGTTGCTGGGAGTTGAACTCAGAACTTCTGGAAGAGCAGCCAGTGCTCTTAACTGCTGAGCCGTGTCTCCAGCCTCCTGGGTGTTATTTATATTGCAATTTGTTTGTTTGTTTGTTTGTGGTTTTTCAAGACAAGGTTTCTCTGTGTAGCCCTGGCTGTCCTGGAACTCACTCTGTAGACCAGGCTAACCTCGAACTCTCGAACTCAGAAATCCGCCTGCCTCTGCCTCCCAAGTGCTGGGATTAAAGGCGTGCGCCACCACCACCCGGGGCAATTTATTCTTTTGTTTTTGCTGTTTGAGTGGGTTGTAACTCCATTCGGGTCTCCTGGCTTTTCTCTAGCGGACAAGTGGAGTTCCCCAGGGGTTTCCTTTTCAAGATGGCTGCTTGCACTGTATGCAAACCTCACATTTGGGCTTTACCTGGCTGTTGACTAGGATGGATGGTTCTGGAACCCCTGGTCTGTGAGGACTAGGCCTAAGAGCAGCAGATGGGAGTCTGGGAGGAGAAAGGTTGGCCTTGGGAGACAGGTTTCCAGAAGGACTCAAGAAAACTGGCTTCAGGTAACTAAAGGACTTATGGTGAAGAGGTACTGACCTCTCAGTCCACTCTGGGGACACAGGTGACAGAAGCAAGAGGGTGTCTTTTAAAAGGCAGAGAGCCGGGGAGCAGGGCAGACTGACATGCTCTTCACGTCAGATCCTCAGCGTCCTGTCCCTGGTGACAAAAGTTACCAAACTGAGAAATCTCAGCCTAGGTCCAGCCACGTGAGGTGGTTAATTTTACGTGCGTCAGTTTGACCAAGAGATGGCGCCTAGAGTTGCTGGCTCAAATGTCAGTTTAGATGTTACCATGAAAGCCTGTTTTTGATGTGGTTAACGTTTGAGTTGATGGGCTGCGTGAAAGAGCTCTCCCACGGGCAGTAAATGGGCTTCACACAACCCATTTAAGGCCTTCAGAGTCAAGGCTGAGGCCCTGGGAAGGATCTGAGTATCCCTCTATCCTCAGCTTCAGCAGACAGCCCAGCCCTACAAGCTTTGAATGTTACTATCACGTGAAGTAGTTCTGGAAAGTAATCCTCCTCCTGTGTGCATGTTTGTGTGTGCTTGAGGTGGGGTTGGGGAGCCTGTATGTAATGCTAACCCTGTTTCCTTACAACAGGGCTTCTTAATTTTTGCATCCATGGGAATTTTTATCTGGAATAGGTTTGTTTTGGTTTGTTTTTTTTTTTTTTTGGTTTTTCGAGACAGGGTTTCTCTGTATAGCCCTGGCTGTCCTAGGACTCACTCTGTAGACCAGGCTGGCCTCAAACTCAGAAATCCGCCTGTCTCTGCCTCCCAAGTGCTGGGATTAAAGGCGTGCGCCACCACCGCCCGGCTGGAAAAGGTTTATAAAGTTTTTTTTTTTTTTTTTGGTATGTGTGGGTATTTTGCCTGTAAATATATCCGAGTGTCATATGCATGCCTTGTACAGAGGACAAAAGAGGGCATCAGGTCTTCTGGGGCTAGAGTTACAGATGGTTGTGAGCCACCGTGTGGGTGCTGGGAATTGAACCCTGAACCTCTGGCAGAGCAGCCAGTGTTCTTGACCACTGATCTACCTCTCCAGCACCCCCTGAGGGTTTTTTTTTTTTTAAGACTTATTTATTCACTGTATGAATGCTCTTTCTGCATGTACACCTGCATGCCAGAAGAGGGCGTCAGACCCCATTACAGATGGTTGTGAGCCACCATGTGATTGCTGGGAATTGAACTCAGGACCTCTGAAAGAGCAATCAGTGCTCTTAACTGCTGAGCCATCTCTCTAGCCCCAGCCCCCAGAGAATTTTTAACAAGACTTTAGATACACAAAATAGGTAGATATTTGGGCATGGTCATACATACCTTTAATACCCGAATCAGGAGGCAGAGACAGGTGGATCTCTGTGAATTCTAGGCCAGCCTGATCTACATAGTCCCAGGCCATCCATCCAGGGCTATACAGTGACAATGTGTCTCAAAAAAAAAAAAGAAAGAAAGAAAGAAAGAAAAGAAGAAGAAAGAAAAAGAAAGACTACTGCATGCTAATAAGATGAATATATGAATATATGTTTATTTTTATACAAATCTCAGCTGACTATTTGGCACCTCTGGACACAAAATTTTTTTAGAGTTAATTAGTATGTTGATTTCTGAGAACACTACTTCAAATATATAGTATAAATGACAAAAGTATGCTTTATTGGAAATTCTGTCTCAATGTTGTGCCAAAAATCATTGCACAATGTGTTAGAAACCTAGGCCAGCAGCTGGGACAGACATTTAGGTAATGTAGCATTCCTGTACAATCCAGTCTGAAGACAAACTGATCTGAGACTCACATGCTCTAGAACAGCAGCAGCCAGGAAGGAAAGTTCTTTGTTTTCCTTTATTAAACCATCATGTTCCTGTGAGAGCGGAAAACTTTGTACATTCAACAATGACACTGCATTTTGTTCATGTGTGCTGGTCTCGGTTCTGAGAGCCTGAATCGAGGTGTTTCAGGCTGGTGCTAGCTTGGACAGAAACTTCAGAGCTTTCTTTTCTGCTCCCAAAGCCTGGGAAGCAGGAGGCAGAGGGTCTGGGGGAGAGGTGGGCTTTAACCTTCTCAGTTCTCCCTGGGCTTTCCCTACAGACCTGACAGCTTCAATGGCCATGGCTACCACCTCTTCCAAGCCATGCGGTTCGCCATCGAGGAGATAAACAACTCCACAGTCTTGCTTCCCAACGTCACCCTGGGGTATGACCTGTATGATGTGTGCTCAGAGTCTTCCAATGTGTACGCCGCCCTGAGGGTGCTCGCCCTGCAGGGGACCAGCCACATAGAGATGCTGAGAGATCTTCGAAACCACTCCTCCAAGGTGGTGGCGATCATCGGGCCTGACAACACTGACCACGCTATCACTACTGCTGCCCTGCTGAGTCCTTTTCTGATGCCCCTGGTAAGCTGAGCCTCTCTGAGGCTAGGCAGCTCCTTCACCTCCAGGCAGTCCCTGCTGTCTAGGAAGGGCTGCAGGCATCCTGCCCGCCATTGCTACTGCCCGATGTTCCTGTCTGCCTCTCTCCGAGCTGCTTCCAGACTTCTGCCTCACTCATCAAGGGGAAAGCCTGTCCTTTACAATTTTGTTTTGTTTTGAGACAGGGCCTTACTGTATGGCTCTGGCTGTCCTGGAACTATGTAGACCAGGCTGGCCTCAGACTCACAGAGATCCCCTGCCCCTGCCCCTGCTCCTGGCCCTGCCTCTGGCCCTGCCTCCCAAGTGCTGGAATTAAAGGCACACCCCACTACCCCTGTCCCTCAGGCTTCCCTTTGGAAGTGTTGCTACCCAGTTGCTCTTCTGTGCCTTCCCTCCATCCAAAGGCCTGTT